CTCCTTTTCTCCTTCAACCCCCCCCTCCTTTCATTTCTTTTAATTTCATTCTCATCAGTCTCTGAGGAACCCAGTCTCTTCGATTTTAAATTCAATCACATATGTTACTACTTCAATTTCTTCAGCCTGTAGATTTCCATCTTACTAAACTTAATTTTATTAATTCTTCACCATAGGAGCATTCCTAAATAAAGTCATTTAAACATGAGGTCTTATATTAGCTTCAAATATTTGTTATTTAATTTTTACCTTGTCCTAGATGTGTTAAACATAAAAGGATAAATTTCACAAATACAAGCTAACCCAAAAATTAAATACACTTTAGACCACATTCCATACGACGAAAAGCAACATAAGTTGCCTAAGGCACAGGTCATTATATTAATCATGACTATAAAACCATCATTGATTTGACATCTTTTATACCCTAAATTAATAAATAAAAAGTTTTTAAATCCCAACACCTATATTGTTGTTATTTTTAAAATCATCAAAACTTGTTGAATCTTTTGGCTGTAGTAATACTATGTACAACTTTTATAGTTTTTGTTGCATTGACATTCTGTTATCTTCATCCTTCAAAAGTATCTTGTCAATCAGTTCCACGTTGTTCTCCGAGCGCAGAGGTTGTCTCTCGCCCGGCTCTGGAACCCATTTGAGCCATGTGTTACCTTTGGTCAAATTTAATGTAATATAGAACATCACAGTTATTTTATAACACAATGTACAACATTTCATAACTAAATGTAATTTAAAGGGTTTTTACCCTAATATTTTGGTGGCTCAGGCATTATGACCTAGTAAGTATAACCATCTTTTGCTTTTCAACCTTAGTCAAAATTTCAAAATCTCGTTTGTTTTAACTAAATGGTTTATACTTATTTTTAGGCATTTTCGATTTTAATAACCTGATGATGGACTGTTTAGTCCGAAAACGTTTGTTCTATTGATGTGGCCCTTTTAAGGGTTTTTTAAATAAATATACCCATTTACAAAGATTAACCTCTTTTTGTTATACGTGGTATACAGCCAGCTACAGGAATTTTTCCTTGTGAATATTTAATAGATCTGTCCAAATTTTAGCATATGCAGATAACGTGGACATTATAACAAGAACCAGGGCTAGAACTGCGGAAATCCTAACCGAGCTAGTAGCAGCAGCTGAACGAATGGGGTTACATATAAATCAAAATAAAACTAAATTCATGGCGACTAACATAAACACAAGAGCTGGAAATGTTGACGCAAATTTAATCATTAATGACCAACACTTCGAAGCAGTCAAAGAGTTCATATATCTAGGGACATCGGTTAACCTCAATAATAACACATCTCAAGAAATTAAATGGCGAATAATAATTGCAAACAGGTGTTATCATGGTCTATCAAAGTACTTAGGGAACAAACGTCTGTCTCAAAAAACTCGTATAAGGCTGCATAGAACACTGATAGTCCCCGTTCGCACATATGGATCAGAGGCATGGACGCTAACTAAAACAGATGAATCCGCTCTATCGATTTTTGAAAGAAAGGTGCTACGCAAGATATTCGAAGCGGTCTGTGAGAACGGAATATTGAGATATTTTTCACTTGTATAACTTTTTGAATATAATTTTTTGCCAGAAAGTGTTTATATTTTTAATAATATTATTTGTTATGTTATGACCGAGTAAAGTTAGTTTTTAGCATCCAATTTTTGGTTTTATTTTAATATTGTAAATCTGGGAAGGTATAATCAAGTCACCCATACACAAGGATCAAGTCTCTCGAAGTACGGGGAGACATGATTAGTTTTTCTTTATTACTGGATTCCACAAAAACTCGTTATTTATTAGCAGTATATTTTTCGAGTGTATAAAACCCAAAACTTTTATAAATTGGTAATGTTCTACTAAATTATCAAAGTTTTAGATCAATTATAAAAAAAGTTATCTGAAAAAATGTAACGGTGTGATCAAGTCTCCCACTTCTCTACTAAGAAGAAACTCCGATGTTTTTGAGGTTTACTTTTCTCAAGTCTTAAATTGTCTACCGAATAATGCTGTCGTTGTCTTTGATAATACCAGCTATCATTCAAAATTAGTGGAAAAGTTACCGACGGTCTCGTGGAAAAAGTCCAACGTAAAATAATACCGTATGATCAGACTATGCTTAAAACGAAATTATTACGAACTCCAAGGCAACATAAATCGTACTCTAAATCGGCAAAAACAAAAATAATAACGATATTACGTTTGCCAACTTATCATTGTCAATCCAATAGAGTTCAACGGGCTCAAGTAAAAGGTGAAGTGGCTAGACAAAATACAACTTTTAAATTGGAGGATGTCAAACACCTTTTTATTAAATTCCATAAAAAACGTAACGAAGGATAACTGGACCAATATCGTAAACCCCGTAAAAAAAAAGAGGAAGAAAGATTATGGACTGTTGATAACAACATTAAAGAACTTTGTTAATCTATAATCATTTCAATCGGGTCGGACAACAAATCTGACACTGAAAAAGGGGAAGAGATAGAAATCCATAATTTAGTGATTACTAAGATAAGTAAAACACTAAGTTTTTAATTTATGCACATTGCTTAAATATTAGAAATCAATACGATGTATCAACTTTAACATTAATCTTATTTATCATATAAATATGTCACCAATGTTTGTTTCTTCAACACTGACCCATGATTTTCATACATGTTAGGTATATAATCCATATCTTTGTATTGTTGTTTTGGTGTGAACAGGGTGGACTCTTAGAAAAATACACTTCTCCAAGAAATTAACGCACCACTTTGAAATATTAAAATATTTTATTATCGTTAATAAAAATTTCCGTTGTAATGTTATATTTTGCAAGCCCCTTGTATATGCTATTCGTACACTTTATATTTATTGACTATGTTTTATCGCTATAGTTTTTTTTGCAACAAAACACAAAGAAGCAAGAAATGTACTAATTCTGTAAATATACTAATTTCCAAGTGTTCACGAATTTTATTCGGCTACTGTTTAATTGTTAATTATTGGTAATTGTGTTTATTATGGAGCGTCAATCACCTTATTTTAGCCCGAGATGAATAAGCTTAAGCAGTGATACTGTCGGAAGAAGGTTGGAGTTACCGAAGAATTGGTCGTCGGTTTAATGTGTCCCACACACCCGTCTCACGGGTTTTGGAAAGATTCCTCGAAACAGGGGATCATGCTCGTAGACCAGGACAAGGACCTAACCGGGTAACTACCCCTATTCAAGATCGATTTTTAAGAATTTCTGCTCTTCGACAACGTTTTATAACACATCGAAGTCTACAAATTCAGCTTCGAGACGTACATGCTATACAAGTTAGTACTGAAACGGTTCGCCAACAACTTGCTATTTACTGATGAATCCCGATTTTGTTTGTACAATAACGACAGACGTGTTCGTGTGTTGCGACGACCCAACGAAAGATATGCTCAGTGTAACTTCTCACACACCACATTTTGTGGTGGAGGATCCGTTTTGGTGTGGGGTGGTATTTCTTTGACCGCACGTACGGACCTAGTGGTCATACAAAATGGAACTGTTACAGCGGAAAGGTACATATTGGAGATCCTGGAGCAACATGTAGTACCATTCGCTGCTGATATCGGTGAACATTTCTTACTAATGCAAGATAATGCCAGACCTCACGCTGTACAGATCGTCAGAAATTATCTAGAAGATGTAGAAATTAACACTATGGAATGGCCAGCACATAGTCCGGATTTAAATCCGATTGAAAATATCTGGGATATACTTGGTAGGCAATTAAGAGCGACACCGCTCCAACCAAACAACTTACAAGAAGTGAGAGAGAGGCTGATGCAGATTTGGAGAGAACTAGACCAAAATGAAATACGGCAATTAATTTTAAGTATGGGCCAACGATGTGAGGCTGTTATACATAGTAGAGGTGGAAACAGTCGTTATTATGACTTTTTTTATATTTTAGTTTACTTTTCTTATCATTATTTTTTTAGAATTTTCCGTTTTATTTATTTTTATTTTCTCCTGAATTTCAACATTTTCTGATGATTAGACAAATTGTTATAATTACTAATAAAATGTAGAATAAATCTGGTAAAGTGTTATTTTTTATTCTTTGCCTGTTTACAAATAAAATTGATTTATTGCAGTGGTGCGTTAATTTCTTGGAGAAGTCTAATATTCTAAAGTACATCTCAACGAGAGAGGATATTATTTTTTTATATCAGTTTAAATACGTTACCTGCTGTTTGCAGATTATATAAGAATTGCATTTTTAATGAGCTGCCAGTTGCAAATAGATAGAAATTAGTTAAATATAGTTTTAATTAATTTAATGACAATAATAAACTATCTGGAAATAACTGTATGGAATCAGTTAAGTAAGAACACTATATTGACAGAGACATGGAAAACTGCACAAAATAGTGTAGCAAAACGTTTAATGTAAAATCATTTTACTTTTGGCAGACAATAACAACACATTTGATTAGAAAATAAATATGTCCAAAGGATAACGACTCGATTATCTATGTTAATACATTATTTTGAAAAAGTACATAAAACTGAAATCTAGGAGTGCTGCGTGAACTTGAAATTTTGTATACAGTGCCCAGATTTACATTTTGTCTTATAGTTGTGATAATAGCCAATACCATTTTTTTATTCTTTTATCTCTCTTTTTCTTTCTCTCTCTCACTTTCTCTTTTTCTCCCAGAAACTGTAGGATATCATAACTACGCTTATGAAGTCATTTACTTAATGACAATATTCACGCTACAAACTTATTAGACATATTCATGATAGTCTGGCGACGTTTTTTTTAATTTTATATTCCAAATTATAATTAATAGAATTACGAAAAAGATATAAGCAAAAACTAGCTAGTGTGAATAAAAAATCGAAAGTAATTACATATTCTAAAAATTCACTTAACACTTTCTTAAAATAAAATGCAAATTAAACATATGCAAACAAGCTACATGGTCTATTTTTAACTAAAACTCTTTCTCTATATAATACCTGTTGGAAGTTTGATTGTCGGAAACCTCATTCATTATTCCATAAGTATCGCTTGGCCTTTGTAAAAGATTTCTATTAAAAGATTCATTATATTCTGATTTCCGTTCCACTGCTCCAGCTAAATTTAACAAAACTTCTTGTTTAGTCGGTTCGACATCCAAAAGGTCTTTCTGAAAACAATTAAGTTTAATTGATTTTATATTAAACTGACATTTAATTTGAGAGATACAAAAAAAAACTTTCATTAATTTACTTTGACCTTGCTAGTATTTTTCTTTTAGAGGACACTAGTACATTTTGTAGCAAATAATTGAAAAGAGTGATTTACAGTGCAAATAACTACACCTTTTTTATGTTAACTGCTTCTGCGTTAGGAGTTGGTCCTCCTTGGAGAGAAATAAATTTGGCGATTTGTTTTGTCTGTGTTTTTCTCTTACGCGTAAGATTATTATAACTTAAACCTAATTTTGACTAATGAAAATGAACATAAACGTACGCTTATTTTTTTCTTCTTTTTTTATATAAAAAATTTTGCTTGTCCATTGGCGGGTTGTTGGCTCTCGTGAACGTTGTCGCTCCATCTCTTCCGTGATCGGTTAATACTTTTTCTACCACTTCGTGTTTTGTCCCTTGATATTGTAATGGCTCTTGTTTCCGCCATACTACTAATGATTGTTTCATTCTTCCATATGTTCCACACTTTTATATTGTGTATATTTGTAATTCTTCTAAGTATTCATATTTCTGCTACTTTCAAGATCATCTTTCTGTTAACTGTGTCGGGTCTTGTTTCTGATAAGTATGGCATTATTGGTCTTATACTGGCCTTATAGATTATTGATTCCATCTCAATGTTAAGGTATTCATTACGTTATATGGTGTTACTAAGGCATCCTGCTAATCTATTTGCTCTTTGCACTTGATCTCTTACTTCTTTTTTAACGTCTCTATAGCTGGACATTGTATTCGCTAGGGACTGTATTTCCATTAATTATTCGTTGCTATCTCCGTCGACTTCCATTTTACATCTAATTGGTTCTTTACTGATTACTATTGTTCTACTTTTTTGAGTTAAAATCGCCCTGTTAAATTATTTTGCTCTTGTGGTAAACCTGTGAACTAGCCTTTAAAAGCTGTCTATATTTTGGGTTATTAATATTACATTGTTTGTATAACAGAGAATTTTAATTTTATTGTTTCCCATGTCTAATTTACCAATAACGAATTTCTATAATTTTACACTATGTAAGGTTTGTACAAAAATAAAAGCTTATAAATTAAAAGTCCTTCTAAAACAAAACTGTCATTATTTTTTAAAGGCAAGGCCAGTTCCAAAACAAAATTTTGTTGTTACCTTTTTTATCGGAAATATGTTTGTAATCAAACAAACGTATTACTAAGATTCTAAACTCAAACTTAAAATAGTAAAACGCCAATAACCGACTAATTGAATACATTCCTAACTGACTGTATTCAAAATAATACAATAAAAGTCATGAAATTACCCAAGAGATTTAAAAGAAGTTCGAAAAATCGAAAGAAACACATAACGTCGAAGACCACTGGAATCATGTCAAAAGCATTATGCTAGAAACAACTAAAAAGTATAAAACTATTAATAATCGCAAACAACAATGGATGACTAATGAAATATTGGGACTAATGGAAAGCAGGCGAAAACAGAAAAATTAAAACAATAAAGAATACAATAAACTTCATAAAGAAATGAGAAGGAAAATCCTTGATGCAAAGGAAAAATGATATAGCAACAAATGTCTTAAAATAAAAGAACTGCAGAAAAAGAATGGCACGTTTAATATGTACAAAAAGGTGAAAGAAATAACTGGAACATATAGATCAACTGCAAGTAGTTTACATGATAAACAAGGAAATATTATAGTCAATGAACAAGACAGATTAAATAGATGAAAAGAATATATTAAGGAGCTGTTTGATAATGATAGAACAGAAATTCAAATTAAAAATATATCGACTGGTCCAAACATAACACTCGAAGAAACGGAAAGAGTTATAAAGCTATCAAATAATAGGAAAGCAACCGGTCCAAATGAAATTCCAAGCGAAATAATCAAACTGCTCGACGATAAGGGCAAACATTCTATTCTAAGCCTCTTTAATAAAATATACGAAACAGGACATATACCAACAGACTGGCTACTGTCAACATTTGTAAGGATACCGAAAAATATAAATGCCAAACAGTGTAGCGATCATCGCACTATTAGTCTGATAAATCATATACTAAAATTTTTTTTTAAGAATACTGCACTCGAGAATTTACAAAATAGAAGTATAACTAAGTGAAACACAAATTGGTTTCAGAAACAACCTTGGAATCAGAGAAGCACTCTTCAGTTTGCAGGTCATGGTTCAAAGATGTAGAGATATAGAACAATCAAACCGTAATTAAACAGTAAACCATGACAAACTTATAGGTGTCGCAACAGGTGGGAATTGATGACCGAGACCTCCGTATTATCAAAAATTTGTATTGGCATCAATTGCAAACATACGAGCTAGACACAACACGACGGAAGCAGTGGAAATACGACGTGGAGTGAGGCAAGGATGTATTCTATCGACTTTACTTTTTAATATCTACTTTATTTTCAAAGAAGCCTTAGTTTAAGATACAGACATTAAAATCAACGGAATTATTGTCATCAATCTCAGATATGCAGACGACACGGTACGTATTGCCTCCAATGAAGAAGACCTGCAACGACTTATAAACAGGATAACCGAAGCATGTGATGAATATGGGCTAAAACTTAATACTTCTAAGACAAAACTTATGTTTGTCAGCAAAACGGAGTTAAAATCAACGAACATCAGAGTGTATGGACTAGAGTTAGAAAGAGTCCACAATATTACCTGCTTGGGTGCAAACGTTAACGATAACTGGGATATAAATAAAGAAATAAGACTACGCATTGAAAAAGCCAGAGCCGCCTTCTATAAATCAAAGAAAATTCTAATTAATAGATATATTACGTTAAGTCTAACTGGTAAGCAGGTTTTGTATGTTTTCAATAAAACTGATAGTGTGTAATAGAATACATTAAACAAATTAAACATTAAACATTCCAAATTCAATAGATTAAATAATAAGTTACACAATTTACTAAATAAGAAAAATAATCACAACAATAATAGTCAAAACACTAATAGATCGAATGGTTCCGTTAAATTTAGATTTCACAAACGCATAGTTAATTTAACAAATTGCTCATTCACTAATAAAGAATTTGATTTTTTGTCTAACGGACTAAAATTCTCTACCTTAATACCATTTAACAACAAAACAGTTGAAGAATTTTCAGTTGACATAGATTCTGTAATAGAAAGCTTACCTTTAGACTACATTTCTAAAACCAACTTAAAAAGCAATTGTTTCCTTTCTTTACAAAAAGATCTTATCAAATTTAATAATAATGTTAATAACATAAAAATTAAATGCTTTAAACAACTACATTTGATTAGACAAATATCTACAAAATTGAATAGTAACAATCTTATTATTACTAAAGCTGATAAAGGTAACTGCCTCATTATCATGTACCATCATGATTACGTTCAAAAAAACAGAAGAATTTCTAAGAAATAATAACTCATTCTAGATAGAAATCCTCTAAATAAACTAGCTACTAGTTAATTTAATTAAAGCTATCTTATTAAAGCTAAATTAAAGCTATCTTATCTAAACATAAAGATTTCCTACAATCACATAACAGGATAGAGAAAACCTTCATTTTGTCAAATCCGCAAATACCAAGACTATATGGTTTACCAAAAATTCATAAACCTAACACCCCTATGAGACCAGTGGTTAGTTTTTATAACACACCAGTTGTTACATTGTCCAAATTCATTAATTCTATATTACAATCCTCAATATCTGTTCAACCCACTTTTTCTGTCAAAAACTCTACAGACTTAGTAAATAAATTGTCAATTTTAAATTTATCTAGAGTCTTCTTTCTAGTTTCCTTTGATGTAAGTAATTTGTTTACAAATGTACCTAGAGATGAAACCATTTCCATAGTTGAGAAATTACTTATTAAAAATAACATTAATAGAGATACAATTTTTTACATATTCTTCTTCTTCAGGTGCCATCTCCGCTACGGAGGTTGGCAATCATCATAGCTATCTTAATTTTTGAGGCAGTAGCTCTAAATAGTTGTTTTGAGCTGCATCCAAACCATTCTCTCAGGTTCTTCAGCCATGAAATTCGTCTTCTTCCGATGCTTCTTCTGCCATCTATTTTTCCTTGCATTATGAGTCGCAGGATGCCATACTTATCGCCCCGCATCACATGTCCGAGATACTGTAGCTTTCTTTCTTTAATTGTTAGTTCAATTTCCTTCTCTTTGCCTATTCTTCTCAGTATTTCATTGTTTGTAACTCTATCTACCCAGGAAACCCTCATAATTCTTCTATAGGTCCACATTTCAAATGCGTTAAGTCGTCTCATGGTATCTAGATTTAACGTCCATGATTCCACTCCATAATATAGTACACTGTATACGTAACATTTTGTTAGGCGTACTTTAAGAGCTAATGTTAGATCTTTGCCACATAGGACCTTTTTCATTTTTATAAAATTAGAACGTGCTTTTTCGATTCTGACTTTGATTTCTGCCGTGTAGTCATTATTTTCTGTTATAAGTGTTCCTAGGTAAGTATACTTTTTTACTCTTTCGATCTGCTGGCCCTCTACTATCAGGATTTCGTTAGTATTATAGTTGTTTTTACAAATTTTCATAAACTTCGTCTTTTTGACATTAAGAGAGAGTCCGTACTCCCTACTACACATGACTATTTTGCTCATGAGTCTTTCCAGGTCTTGTAAACTATCGGCTATTATTACTGTATCATCTGCATATCTGATGTTGTTAATTAAGACTCCATTTACTCTTATGCCGACTGTTTCATCTTCCAGAGTTTCTCGAATTACCTCTTCAGAATAGGCGTTAAATAATAGAGGTGAGAGAATGCAGCCTTGCCTGACTCCTCTCTTTATTTCCATTTCTTCAGATGTTTCTTTTTCGATTCTTACTATTGCTCGCTGATTGTAATAGAGGTGTGTTATTAGCCTTAAATCTCTTTCATCTAGGTTTTTATTTTTTAGAATTTCCAGGAGTCG